TTATGTAGTTGTTTCACAATAAGTCGAGATCCATTGCAAAGTCCTTGATGGACATCTAAATTACGAAGCAGCATAACTATTGCACCAACCTGTAAGTTCAGTTTATGAGGAGGCATTCCCGATGGTGTCAAGCTATTCAAAAATTCCGTGGGATAATTGCTAACATCTTCTCCATCCTCACATTCGACTTCATCTATACTTGTGTACACCTTTGCTGTGCCGGGCAAGCGTTGCAGTACTTGTTCACTTACCATGAGAGCGTGTTCATTCTTTGGACAGAGAATCACTTTATCACATAGATTTTGAACATCTGCCAGAGAGATATGGTTGCCGAATATTTCATCAGCTAAATTACCATCTGATATACAGGCTACAGGTAATTCGATTTCATCATTTTCTCTTGCTTCCAGCTCACCGTTACCCAGCTTAATCAGCCATTCAGAGAACTCTTCTTCGCCTAATCCTGCCCTCATATTTTTGCTAAGACCAAAGTCTTGAAATGATACTATAGTTCTGAGCTCTTCAGATTTGCAGCGACCAGTTGAGACTTGTTTACAAATCGTACAACTGGAAGTCCTTGACGAAAATCTCCTCCAAGTATCATTATTTTACCTCCAAAAGATACATTAATATTCATTAGATCTCGAAATAGTATATCAACGGCCTTCAAGGCATAGGACGGTGCCATTGGTGCTCCGTCTCAGATCACAACGTCAGTTAATTTGATTTCTTCGGCTTCTTTGGTGTTTGGTCGAACATCTGATGTAGACGTTTCTAAGAGAGGCACAGGAAGCTTGAAGCGGCTATGTGTAGTTCTTCCCCCAGGCAATAAATTAGCAGCTATTCCAGTCCATGCAATTGCTAAAACACGAACACCTTGTCTTTTGAATAAATGCCATAGAGTGTTATACAGATGTGTTTCTCCTGTACCGCCAGGTCCATCGATGAAGAAACATGAGGGAGTAGCTGGTGATTTCGGTTTATGGCATACTTCTAGAATTTCATCCGCAGCTGAACGTTGATCTTCATTCAAGGTTTGATACATCTCTTTTCCCACACGAAGCTCTTCTTCCTGGTTGATATTTTCTGACGGCAATCGACATGGGATGGATGGTCGTGGTATTGCAAAATCGCTGAACCTTCGTCCTTGTTCCATAAGTTTTGTTTCGATCTCATAGAAAGCCATCGCTTCAGCTGTTTCCATGTCAAAGTGGCGTATGAAGTCTTCGGCCATATTTGTTTTGAATGAATTCCACAGATCTATGGGCTTTTCAGATTACAATACAGCAGAATCACACAAAAGAGTGTTCGTAGTCGAGATGACATTTGGAAAAGTGCTGCTTCACCCAAGCACCTTTCATATTCAGTATCATCACATAGCAAACCTCGTCTTTTCGCACCTTCTGCAAATGTGAGACAGTTTTCGTCATTTACTTTCTTCAAATCGTCGAAATTGCAAGCACCTGGTGTGTGTAACAGTAAATGACGCAGATGATAGCGTTCAGTATCTTCAGGACTAACTGAATACATTCTACCAATGATTTTTTCACCTCGCTGTCGAGGTTTCCATTTTTTGTCTCGATCGAAAACAAAGTGGTTTGGAATATCATGACACTGATACCTTCTAAGTAAATCTATATCTAACCCCTTATTTCTGTAATTAAACCCCTTAAATCGATATCAAACACCTTATTTCTGTCATAAACCACTTAAATATATATCTAACCACCTATTTCTAAGATTAACACCTTAAATCTATATCTAACCCCTTATTTCTGTAATTAAAGCCCTTAAATCTATATCTAACCCCTTATTTCTATCCTTAACCCCTTAAATCTATATCTAACCCCTTATTTCTATCATTAACCACTTAGAACCATATTAAACCCCTCATTTCCATGCTTAACCCCTTAAATCTATATCTAACCCCTTATTTCTATCATTAACCCCTTAAATCTATAGCTTATTACTGCGGAGATATTGCATTCTGAAGGGGATTTTTTACCTCAGTCCCGTGTTCTCCTCAGGAACATCAGGAAAACTGACTTTCGAATTTCAAGTTGAAATTTTGCACAGAGATCGCTCTTAGAGAGAATAGCATTATGAGAATTCGCAGATATTCTCATTCCTCCAACAGTTTTCTCACCAACTTTTAAAACTATTTTTAACAACTGTAGCTCTTAGCTAATGTACGGAAACAGGTTTCATATTCTTAAGTCAAGAAGTATCAAACATAAAGAGAAACAGTTTTCCTTTTGGCCTAAGACACCATAAATACTTTTTATTTTTATATGGTAATACAACATATCGTTCAGCATTGCTTTTGTTTATTCATTCTTTGAACACGTATTAAGCAGTGGCGGAGCGACCGTATGTGTGAGGAGAGTGTACACCCCTCCTGCTTTCAGAAATTTTGGTGAAAAGGACGGGGCCCGCTTTTCCACTGCTTTTGGCCCACTGCTTTATCGACTTAGTTATGATTACATTTTGTAGAGAAAGCGATTTTACACATTTTGAACTGCATATCAACCATTATAATATTATGGAGACTTTTTAAAATAACTTTTCTGAGGAGGTACATAAAGCATATCGGTGCTTAACAAAAACGATTTTGTTCAAAATCTAATATAAACTTATGGCAAAGCTTGGTATAGAAGAATAGCTCTTGAAAAGCTCTACAATATTCTGATTAAACAAACCCTACATATTATCGGCTCAATCCTTTATAGGTCATATATGAGCCCAGGGACACCTAAAAGTCAACACAATTGCTGTTTTAGCCATTTTACTCCCATAGATAAGAGAGGATGCAACTAGTCTTTAGTATAGAAAAATAGCTCTTGAAAAGCTCTGCAATATCTATTAATAGGAAACTTAACGAAGCTTGGCAGCGGTTTTTGTGTATTAAATACTTCGCCACTTAATCGCACAGTGGGTCAGCACATTTTTCGCCAGCTTTAGTTTTCGTTTTTCTCGTCGATCATAATAGCTAGAATAAATTTCAAAAAAAGTTTTGAACAGCTGAAAGAATTTCCGATCTCAGTTAGTGTATACAAAGGTTCCATGAAAACTTCTGAAATCAGAGTCGCTGGAAAACCAAAATGTCAGAAAACGAAGTCCCCGAGTTCAATCTAAAAATTCGTTCCGTCGTCGTGTAAAGCAAACATTTCTGTCGAAAATGAGACGTCTCCCAGCTCTTTACGGCATTTATTTATAGAGCAGCATTCAATTTATGGAAGGTACTAAGGGGCCCTTAGGACCTTCCATAAAGTGAATGCATAAATTGACACTAAGGTGGCGAAAAATGTTTGGACCCAGTGTGCGATTAAGTGGCGAAGTATTTAATACACAAAAACCGCTGCTAAGCTTCATTAAGTTTCCTATTAATAGATATTGTAGAGCTTTTCAAGAGCTATTCTTCTATACCAAGCTTTGCCATAAGTTTATATTAGATTTTGAACAAAATCGTTTTTGTTAAGCACCGATATGCTTTATGTACCTCCTCAGAAAAGTTATTTTAAAAAGTCTCCATAATATTATAATGGTTGATATGCAGTTCAAAATGTGTAAAATCGTTTTCTCTACAAAATGTAATCATAACTAAGTCGAAAAAGTAGTGGGCGAAAAGCAATGGAAAAGCGGGCCCCTCCTTTACTCCGATTTCAGAAAAGATTAAGGGAAAGGTCCTTTCAAGTCCCCATAAGAACAGGTTTTCCAAGCTCTGGCGTCCAGTGTTCACGTGGAAAATATATCAGAAGCACTTCTGTAGATTCAGGAGATGATGCTGTATCAAGTGATTTCGAGATCGAATATTTAACAAAGTGTTTTCTGCTAGAAAGCTTAGGAATACCGAGAAAACGCCAGAAAATCGGCTTTTGAGACCTCCCGTTGGACCCGAACTCGAGCCGATCGCAGCTTGAGACTTTGCCACAATATGCAACTTTTCTCGCTCTTTGCGATGGAAATGTCAAAAGAAACAGAAAAGTTGTGGAACAGGTCTCTAGAGGTCTTCAGAAAAACCTTTTAAAGACTAACTTTTCATGCAGAAAAAACCTCATTTTTCATAAATTATATTTCGGCACGAGACATTGACCTTAAAATTCATCAGACAGTTATCTAAATAGGTAATAAAACATGCTGATCATGATGGTGAATTTAGTTTGCTCAATGCCTCTGAGAATCTTTAAAAGGTTTTTCTGAAGACCACTAGAGACCTGTTCCACAACTTTTCTGTTTCTTTTGACATTGCCATCGCAAAGAGCGAGAAAAGTTGCATATTGTGGCAAAGTCTCAAGCTGCGATCGGCTCGAGTTCGGATCTAACGGGAGGCCTCAAAAGCCGATTTTCTGGCGTTTTCTCGGTATTCCTAAGCTTTCTAGCAGAAAACACTTTGTTAAATATTCGATCTCGAAATCACTTGATACAGCATCATCTCCTGAATCTACAGAAGTGCTTCTGATATATTTTTCACGTGAACACTGGACGCTAGAGCTTCGAAAACCTGTTTTTCACCGAAGGACCAAGTTCCCTAAACGTTTTTTCCTGAGCCCCCTTTTCACTTTGAAAAGCTTAAAGCCGATATTCGTGATCAGAATGGTCAATTCTATACGCCTAGACGATTAAAGTTGAAAAAAAGCGACCATAGACGATTCTAACGTATTCAGGGGTATTCTCAGGGAATTTCAGGTATTCTCTGGTATTCGCAAGTATTTCCAATACTTAGAATACCTCGGAATCCGCTTTTTCCCCCTTGGAGAATAGTGTATTTTGAAAATTTCAGATCGTTCCGTTGTTCCTATCCTAAGATATGGCTATGATAACAGCACCTTCTCCATATCACTTATACACTAGAAAATTCCGATGTCCTTATTTTAGAACAGGAGCGATTGTAATGATTGAGAAGATCGGGTAGGTGGCGAAAAATCGGTATTCTTATAGGCAAAATTACTTACCCCATTTCTATGACTCGATATTAAGGTTTTTGTTGGAGCAGCACGATAATCTTTGATTACTGGACATTTAATTGCATTGGATCTATGATTTTGTCCACAATGTATGCATTTCGCTATACCAGAGCAGTCATGTTTACGAATATCATTGTATTTCCCGCACATGTTTTGCATGTTATTTGATCCTTTTGAGGATAATTTTTCGGGAAATGCCCAATCCCTATACAACGAGAGCACACGAGTACATGAGCCAGAGCTAAATATTCCACTACTTTATAAAAAACGTGTCCAATCGATATTGTTCTTGCTTCCAGTACTTCCTTGCAAGTAGTGACCGAATTAAATTCAACTTTTACTAGTTTTAATTCCTGTTGATACCGATTCTTCACGCGAACTACATTGCTAATTTTCTCTTGATATTTGTGTTTCATTTCGCCGATGAATTCTTCCCAATCCACGTCAAAACTTACGTTTTGGATTACTACCGACAGTTGTGGGGGAATTGTCGGTATTTTCACTTCGTAGTTTTCGTTTACCAGACTGTTCGGCCACTTTTCACGTTTAAATAAAGTTTCAAATGATGCAGTTGATTCCACAAACACAAGTACATTACATTCATCACTTTGACTATTTGTTGTTGTTTTTCGATATCCAGCAATTTCAAGATCTGACTTTAGTTCATCTTTGACATGTTTTATTAATTCGGTGATAACTTGTTTCTCATTAATATGTTTCTTGAAATGGATTACGAAAGGAGAGAATGGATATCGCGTCTCAGCAAACCGTTCAGCTTGACGTGTTATATTTCTAATTGGATCTTCCACATTTTGTAGTTGTTGATTGTTTCGATCCGCTCGCATTTGTCCTGTAGTTTGCTCATTTGGTTGGTGCTGTTGTCTTAGCAAAAATATGAGGGCAGGATTAGGCGAAGAAGAGTTCTCTGAATGGCTGATTAAGCTGGGTAACGGTGAGCTGGAAGCAAGAGAAAATGATGAAATCGAATTACCTGTAGCCTGTATATC